GATGTTATCCCATGAGAGCAGAGAATATACCAAATTCTATCCAACTTTTTTTCCCCCCAACCGCACACTGGATTGAAAAACTAAACATAGATATCAAACATTCTTGGACTAAATTCTGGATTTTAAAATCTCCAATTTTCATCCTTTTTATCGCTAAAAATCCAGACTACATCAACTGAATTATATAATAATCAGTTTAAAAACATCAGTACTTCTCAATACTGCTACCCCTTCATCCGAAATGCAGAGTAAAGTACTACGTATCTGCTATAATATTGAGCCTAATCTACACTGTTCATTCAGCTAAACAGATGCTGATTTTAAGGCAAGTACTTGCCAAATACCTGAGTGGCGGCATCAGGAAAATTTCCACTATGTAATATTTCCACTATGTTCGTATGTCTACATTTGCATGCAGTTACTTACAACTGTAATATTCAAACTGAATAGCAGTAGCAATTGCACTTAGATTTATATACCACTTCACGGTGCTTTACTGCCCTCTCTAAGTGGCTTACAGAGTCAGCATATTGCCCCCAACAATCTGAGTCCTCATTTTATTGACTTCGGAAGGAGGGAAGGCTGAGTCAACTTTGAACTGGTCAGAATTGAACTGCGGGCAGTCGGCAGAATTAGCCTGCAATATTGTGTTCTAACCACTGTGCTACCACGGCTGATAACCTCTTTAAAATAGTTATTTGATATCAACAGTTTCCAACCCAAAATTTAAATAAAATATGCAAAGCCATTTCAACATGTTTTAATCAAACTATAAATGAACAGACCTATATGGACAGATAAGTTACACTGTTTTAATCAAAACAGGAAATCATGGGAAATCAGAACAAGACTTAGAATAGATTCATTTAAGTCATCCAATCATGCCTAAGTTGTCCCACTGATTTGAATTGCAATGACTATTCTTACCAAATTTGAATCCAAATATGTATAAGCAAGACAAAAATCTAAAATGAATATGCAAAACACCTATATTTTTCAATTATCAAGATTTTTCAACTGGAATGATTCAAGCTATTAGGGGCAATAGGAAAGACCAGTATAATTCATCTCTTCAACTCTGTAGTTAGTTTGTATCTTCAGTTTATGATATTTTACTTGCCAATTTATTGAAACGGGGGGGACGGGGGACGACGACACCCTGTAGCATGACCGGACAAAAGGGCGAACGACTAAACCGCGCCCGACTAAACCGCGTCGCTAAAACCGTGACATCATCAACACGCCGACAACAGTACGGCGACAACAGCGCGGAGACAGAAGAGCGCTTTATAACAGCGCGACGACAGAAAGCCGATTTAACTTAAGGTAAGGTTAGGTTTAGGGTTAGGTTCAGGGTTAGGTTCAGGGTTAGGTTTAGCGTTAGATTTAGTGTTACATTTAGGATTAGGGGTTAGGGTTAGGGTTAGGTTTAGTTTTACAGCACGCTTCTGTCGCCGTGCTGTTGTCGGCGCAATTCAGCGTTCATTCGTCGGAGCGCCTTAGAACACGCGGTTTTGTCACCGCAGTTTAGTCGGGCGTGGTTTTGTCATTCGCCCTTTTGTCGGTGAACCCCCTGTAGTGCTGCTAAGAGTTCGAATACTGCAAGGAACAATCAATAACTAATGCAGAAATGCCAACACTCACCATCTGAATCGGTTTCTTGTGCAAGTCTCTCTCTGTCACCAGTTTCTCCTGGTCTGTAACATAGAGGCCCTTTTGGGCCAAAGCTTGGATAACAGCGTCATGACCCAGAAGTGGCTTGGCAGCATCGCTCTTCAGGATGAGACTTCCCGCACGACAGTAGAGTTCTGCAGACAGCAGCAAGTTGACCACAGGAGGTTTAATATGTTCCTGGTCATACTGATCTGTATAAAATGGTTCTCGAAGCTCATCTGGTATATTTTCTGGGGGAAAAAAACATACGTGCCTTGAGTTAAAAATGACTAATTCTCAGAACAAGTACATAATCTGTTCTAAATAACCGTAATACATTAAAATGACTTCATAATTGCTGCAATGTCAGCATAAATGCCTCGATTCCACTAAATTCCACATTCAAATTATATGCAAAATTTGCATCTAGAAATGTAAAACAATTTATTATTTACAGGTTTAGAATTTTTTTTTAAATTGGGATAATGATTCAGGGACAGAAATTTATGAAATATATAGAATAAATGCAAGATTTTCAAGAATAAGAAGTACAAAATATGAAACCCGCAGAGGTTTCAACTGAATTCTGTCAAGAATTTAAACATCTTTAATAAAATTATATATTGGAAGTGATGGGGAGACAGTATATACGTACATCTCTTAGACATTCTCTCTCCCTCTCTCTCTCTCTCTCTCTCTCTCTCTCTCTCTCTCTCTCTCTCTCTCTCTCTAACTACAATCTATTGGAGTGGCTCTTCTACTTCTTTCAGGAATTAAAAAGTGTTGAATAAAAACCTATTTTAAATTCAATTTATAAACTCCTAGGTTACATAGCAGCCTCAGGAAAAAAAGGGGGGGGCGGGTTTCATATGGAACTCACTCCATTAAATAAATAAAGATGCCACATAAATTGATAAGTTCCCCAACATGCTGCTTTATTCGGTGGGGAAGAGAATTCTACGAGAATATGTCAGAAGTGATATAATATAGAAAGAGCGTACTACTTCAGTAAGAACAGGACAGCTGTGGAAACAAGGCCTACTTGTTAAATTTATGACTTGCCAATTCACCTCTTCAGCCTGGAATATGAAGAAACACAAACTATAGGTGACAGAACTACTACATAAATTAACAGGTTTAAGAAGATGCTTTGAAGACTGAAGTTGGATGACTTATTTAAACTCTGCCAGCACTACCTGTCTTTTCAAATACCTCTGACTGTCTATAATAGCTGAAAAAAATATCAGGTCAAATGATTAAAACACTTTTCTCATCCAAAAGCTGTGCAATGTTGCAAATAATAATAATAATAATAATCTGATCAAGAATCTTTCAAATCATTTAGAAGTGATTTATATAAACACAAAAAACATGAGAGAACAGTATAAACAAAAAATGTTCTGCAATGTATTGAATATTATGAAACTTTCAGACACCGAGTTAAAACAAGTTCTTCCATTGTTAGAAACTGAATCTTCCCCCCACCCCACCCCAAAAAAACACATAAATCTTCAGTCTGGTGCACCTTTTGAACTCTGGCAGTTATTATCAATAAAGATTATTTTTAGTGAAAGCCTTATTACAATTCTTTTTGATGAATACTTGGAACAGGTAAGAAGATGAGAATTGCAAATATACTTGCTTTCTCCAATCTGACACTTTGGAGGACCAAGTCATTTTAACTTTCATTGCACAAATATATCACTGAATGCACAATCTTTCACATTCAGGTGAAAAATATGGAAATTGATAAAGTAAACTTATATATAGTATTTGGTTTTAGATATTTTTATTATTGACATTGACATTGAGTCTTTATTGAGTAGCCCTTGGGCCATGTCAAAGTGAAAACTTCCAGAAACAAATTATTACTAAAAAAAATATGGTAAAAGCAATTTAAAATGGAATTTGATAAAATACAATTTAAAATGAGATTGGAATAAAATATGATTTAAAAATGAAATTGGAATAAAATGCAGTCTAAAATGAAATTGGAATTGAATAAATTAATTTAAGATTTAGATAAAATATGATAAAATTATATTTCTGTGCCATTCCTGCAATCTACCCCACATATGCAGATCTGAACTGAACCATTTTGTTTAAGTCCTTTGCTCTGTTAAAATGTTANCAGTATGTATCCAACAGTTCATTCAGCTTTCTGTTATTTTTCTCTTTCTCTCTCACACAAGCAGACATTTAAATAAGGCACTCAAAATATTTATACTATTATTCCGCCCCTCAACACAAATTCATTAGAGTAACATTTCAACCCTGTCGAACGAACAACTAGCATAACGTTTTAATTACAAGAGCAGATCTCCAGAAATGTGAACCACAGAATTGTTTTCTCTCATCAAGAAAAAAAAATCACCAACATCTGCTTCATTCCAGTGTGAACGTACATATATACTATATCCCACACTGCCATACTTCTGCCATTACTCTGATGTTTTGGAGAAACTGAACTTTAAAATAAAAAAAATGTATTTCAACAAGTCATGATTTCACAAATGTCTTAGAATCCTTTGATTGGGGAAATGTGCATATTCTTCAGTTGGAGCCTACTATTTAGAATTTAAAATCTTATTTTAAGTTATACTACTTTTCTTAATTTTAAATTATTAATAGAGTGCCATAAGGTTAGTCTTTCTATTAGCAACCTTTTCAAAAAGTAAATTTAAAAAGTACTGGGTGATTTTGTAAGTTTGCATATCCAGGTAATAGCATCTGTAGGCTAACACTGCACATTTACCCTTCCTTGTTTTTGTAACATTCAATTGAAAAGCCTTCTAGCATATTTCCTTCCTTTAAAGTTAATTTTGAAGTATGTTTTTATTACAAGGTATTTTCTCTGCCCCTAAAATATTTTAGAAATATTTCTCTGTCCCTAAGATATTTTAATAGCTGCAAGCAACCACGAGACAGGGCATATATTCTCTTTATAACAGGTCCAGGTGAAATAGAAACGCAGTGTATACTTAGCTTTATTTATATTTTAAGTGGAATGTTATGAAATGTCAATAAGTAAACTACAGCCCTGAAATTGTCTCAGATTTGAATAGTCACCTGGGATACGATGTCTCAGTGGAGTCTTACATTTTTAAAAATGCATTAAAAGTTTACAGGTGAAAAACACACTTGCCACTTGACATATAGTTCCTCTAATCCAGTGTTTCTCAACCTTGGCAACTTGAAGATGTCCGGACTTCAACTCCCAGAATTCCCCAGCCAGCGAATGCATTCGNGCAAAGCAACCAAGACCTGGCTGTTCTGGCAGGCCTGGGGCTGTTGAATTTTCCAGCCCCATCTGAGGTTACGACTGTTGTTGTCTTTTAAATTGTTGTCTTTTATATTTATTTTTGTACCCCTTCCCCTTCTGATTGTTAGCCGCCCTGAGTCTTCCGGGAATAGGGCGGCATACAAACCAAATAAAACCTTTATAAAAAACCCTTAAACCTTCATTAATGCCTAACATGCTTTCTTGGCATTGGACTAAGTCTCTGAATCTGATTTTGAAGAAGCTGTTCCAGCAGAACCTCCGTTAGCCTCAGGAGACACAAAGCCAAGAATCATCTGAGGCTCATCAAACATACCAACATTAAGGTGATGACATTTGGCCTCCCAGCCCTGCCCCCAGCAAGTAGAGCAAAAAGCAGAAGAGGGGGGTTCTATGAGACTCCTTGCCAAGCAAGGGAATAAACCTCTTGATTAAAGACAGTTGGCTACAGCGTGACTTAAGAGGCAGCTCTGACCCATTGTTCCTGCGGTGGAAACAACTGGTTTCCTGCTTTGGCGTGTCATTCCTGTGAACCTTGTTCATGAAACTCTGATATTGGACTGGCTGTCAAATCTGACTTAGCCATTTGATATTCTGTCTGGATTTCACGTCTCTTCTGTACATTCCTACTGAAAGCGAAACTACCCAGGCAAGTTCTCTTCTGCACAGACTCGGTTTGGTTTACATTCCTTGATTGCTGTTATCTCCTAACTTTGAGTAAATTGCTAATCTCCATAGCAACAGTGGAATGTGTAATTGAAACCTGAAGCGGGACAAATATATAAATGAATTTGGGAAAAGAACACAAATCACTTGTTTATCTTCAATATAAAATCCAAATCTCGCCTCCAGTGTGCTTACTAGGTTTTCTTAAATACATTTGTTATTCTCTTTTAAGTGATAGTTCCCAAATTGTGAACCGTGGCATCCCAGAGTGCCACGGCAAACTCAAAGGGCACTCCACGATAGTTTACATTTTTGACCTTACTACAGTATTTAATAAATGGAACTGTTTGGTATTTCTTTTGATCTAAAAGCACCATGGAAAAATTAGAACGGGGAAAGTTTGGGAACCACTCCTTTCAAGTATTACATTTTCCAATAAAAAAGTATGTATGAAAACAATGTGCTCTTATGCAGTCTTCCCTAGATAACACATTTTGAAGAAAATTATGAGAATTTCAAGCATAAATCCATTACACATAAGGAAGATGATGTTAGAGATACTCAGGATCTTGTGTCCAGAACTTCCAGATAATGTTAAGAAACAATTCAGACATATAACCCCCCCCCCCCAATTCACAGGAGTATAAGAAAGAAGGAGGTAGAGAACAACCAGATTCTGATATTATAGTTGGTGTGCTGATATAGTCATTCTCTTGGTGTGTGATCTTGTGGATCAATTTCATGGTCTGGTTCACTTAGTGGGACTGATATCAAAGCTAAATTAAGACATTCAGAACTTGAGTATTTTCAGTTGTGCTTGTTTGATGTCAACATATTTCACAAACAATCCCACTACTGTAGATTTGATTGACAAGGGTATTAATGAACCACAATAGCTCTTCCTCCTCCTTTGTCCTAAACAATTAGTTTAATACTATAATAATTCATTTCCAATAAACAGTACAGGTAAACAAGATGGACTTATATTAAACAAAACCTAAATGTGAAATAGGAGGACAGATTATTACAAAATTATTTTTTATTTAACCAAACAGAATGAAAATTGAAAGGCAGCCTAATTTTTGTTTTAAGTTTTATTCTTTTTGAATACTTGGCATTGTCATGTCTACTCGACCCCAAATGTTATATTTAAGCTAAAGTCAATATTCATCTTCATAAATTTTGGACAATTTCTGGATTGCCTCCAGCCCCTTTTCCGTGGCTTTGATAAAGACCCAAGCTTTTGAGATGTTCATTCTGTAAGCCACCTAAAACTTGGTGAGTAGACGGCATACAAATTATTGTAATAAATAAATGGTGGTTTATGG